CTGTCAGGAGGCTGGGGAGGCTGAGAGAGGGGCACAGCTAAGTCAGTGTGGGGGACATCAGGACAGAGCATGGCTCTGTGTGTCCCGTGTCCTTTCCTGTCCACTCCCCAGACGCAGCTGCTTTTATCCTGGTTCCCAAGACACCTCTCACTTTGTCACCTTGGCACTGTCCCCTCTGTCTGTCTTCTGCAATTTGCCTCTTGGCAGTGGTGCCATCAGATTTACTCAGTGGTGTTATTCGAAACAGGCTTGGAAGTCCTTCCTGGCCTCTACCTTCCTTCCTTCTGTTTTTCTGTGAGGTGGGGGAGCTGAGCTTGAATTTGCTGGCTTTGATGAATTTAAGCCAGAGAGAGAAGGGAGAGAGATTCCCCACCACCCCAGTCAACAGCCCCACGCTAGGGGCCCTGGAGCTCATCTGGCAGAAGGAAAAAGCTAGAAGGGACTTGTTGCTTGGTGGCCTTCCAGGATGCCTTGCTCTCCACCCTTCTCCCAGCCCTGACAACTCAATCCAGCTGACAAGACAGGAATCGGGAGTGCTCGGGAGTGCTCGGCAGGCCAGCTGCCAAGAAGGCCACTTTTCCCTCTGGGGAGAAAACAAGGCTGGGGTAGCCACCCTCACCCCCACCTCAGCCCCTCTCAGGAGTCTCATGCTTCCAGCTCAAGTGTTGGGAAGAGGAAGTTAGACCCCAGTCTCTGGCCTTGAAGCAAGAGAAGCTAATCTGAGTACAAATGGAACCTGGGGCAGCTTCTGCTGCCACTAGAGCTGCAGGCAAGAAGGGGACAGATGTCACACCAAAAGGACTCAGGGAGGGGTCAGAGACATCACCATTTCACAACCACAATGTCCAACTTGGGCTACTCTCTGAATGGGTCCTCTAGCTCTAAGGAGAGGGCAGAGGGAGGGAGAGGCAATTTGCATTGTATTTACATGTCATTTGCATACAACTCTTTTGTGTCCAAAGGCATTGAATTTTCCTGCCCTTCCTTCTTTCTCTCTTTCCTCTATCCCCCTTTAAACCTCCGGGCAGCCTCCTATCTCAACTTCTTCTCTGAGGTTTCTCTCTTGCTAACAGAGGGGCAGGAGGATTAAGCCTGGGGGAATGTTGCTCACCAGGCCCAAGCTCAAAGCAGGTTTTCATGCAGCTGTGTTGGGAAGGGGGGGGGGTCTCAATCCACTCCATCTAATTGAAACAATTATCAAGCAAGATCACAAGGGAGAGAATGGAGTGGTCTAGCTCTCCTCCTTGGCCCACACATCATGCATGCGCGTGCTCAATCTCTCTCTCTCTCTCTCTCTCTCTCTCTCTCTCTCTCTCTCTCACACACACACACACACACACACACACACACACACAGAGGCCAGTGCTGGACTGGTAGGCCTAAATCTAAACCCTAACCTTACCATCTACTGGTTGTATTAATCTCCCTGAATCTCAGTTTTCTCATCTATAAGTAGGGGCTAATAACTTTTCATCTAAATGACAGTGGACTTAAAATTCAATGGACAAAGAAACAAAAAAGATGCCCTGTGGGGCCTGGAGACATAGCTTGGTGGCGGATATGCTTATTTTGCAAACACAAGAGCCCAAATTCCATCTCCAGAGTCTATGTAATCCCACCGGCCAGCTAGCCTCTCTTGCAGTTCCAAGTCAGGGCAATGATAGGCCCTGACCCAAGAAATAGGGTCTTTTAAGGAATAGGTCAATAAATAATGACCCTTGAGGTTCCTCTAGCCTATGTGCACACCCATACACACCCACACATGCACGCACAGGTACGCACACACAGGAACACACGAACACAAAGATGTTATTTTCAACATGGAGCACAGTTCTCCATACTAGGGGAGCACATACTACTAATTGATAAGTAAAGAGATGAACAATAGCTAAAATGATATTTGTCAACTTCACCCCCTCCCCGTCTTATCTCCCTCCCTCCAAATCTCTGGAACTTTTAAGCTTTGCTTCCAACAGTGAACTCCCAAGATCCTGTCTCCTCCTCAGTGCTTACCTCCCAGAGAGCTCTATAAACTGCCCACCCCACTAACACACACACACACACACACACACACACACACACACACACAAGCACACATACACACACCCCAATCCCAGAATCCTAGGTAGTTTTTTTTTTTTTTTTTTTTTGGTTTTTCGAGACAGGGTTTCTCTGTGGCTTTGGAGCCTGTCCTGGAACTAGCTCTGTAGACCAGGCTGGTCTCGAACTCACGGAGATCCGCCTGCCTCTGCCTCCCGAGTGCTGGGATTAAAGGCGTGCGCCACCATCGCCCGGCCCTAGGTAGTTCTTGAACATTGGCAGATATAAACTTCTCTGACTTCTGGAATACTAAAGCGCAGAGAAAAAGCAACAAGATTCCACTTGGGGGAAAAGCAAACCGGCAACAGATCCTAGATAGTGGTGAGCCAGACCCTGAGCGCACAGGGCCATGCAAATATATGCAAATAGGGAGCTGGGACTCAGGAGCACACGACGGATTTGGAGCAGGGGCTTCTCTGGGATGATGGCAGCCTAGTGCAGCAGATTACACCTTGAGCACAGGGAAGAAGCCAAATAAGGAAAGGACGGGGGTAAGGAAGGAAGGGACAGACTGAGAATGTCCTAAGTGGGCCTTCCAGGGTCACTCGGACCTCCAAAAGCCCTTGCTGATCTCTTTCCAAGAGCAGAAGAAAGAAAAAGAAAAGTCCCTTCCTTCTTGCCAGGAAAGGCAGGTGAGTTTGACTAGGACAGGCAGTTTGCCCAGCCCTGAAGACTCGCTTATGCCCTCCCATCTCCTCTACTTGGCACTGATGTCTGGTGTGTCCAGCATTGTTCCAGGACCTGAAGACAACAGAACGAAGCATCCAGTCGGGAAACAAAGCAGCAAACAAATAAAAAACCTAAGAAGTGAGCTAAGAAGGGCCCACACCGCCCTCCTTCACACAGGCTAGGACGCTCTAACTATGTCCAGCATCTTGCTTGCATGATGCATGATGCCCAATGCAGGGAGCAAAAACAGAGGGAGGAGCATCTCCTTCTCCCCAGCGCCAGACCCCTTCCAGCTGCAAAGAGAGGGGGCATTTGAATCATTCACTGGACAAAACAGAGCAGTGCTGTGGAACAAAAAGTTTCTGTTCTTGGTGTTATGGGCTATGTGACATGGCAAGTTAAATTCCTTAAGCCTCAGTGTTCCCATCAGTGTGAAATAGAAATCATGGTACTTCAGGGTGTGGTGGCGCACACCTTTAATCCCAGCACTCAGGAGGCAGAGGCAGGCAGATCTCTGTGAGTTGGAGGCCAGCCTGGTTTATAGAGTGGGTTCTGGGACAGTCAGGGTTACGCAGAAAGACCCAGGGGGAAATAAATAAATAAATAAATAAATAAATAAATAAATAAATAAATCATGGTACTATTCACAAGGTTTAATGCGTGCTAGATTCAGGAGGATGGAACTTAAAGGCCTAGACTACATAAGGTGACTCTATTTCAAAACCAGAGCAGACAGTCTGGGAATATAGCTCAGAGCTTGCTTTACGTGTGGAAACGTCTTGATTTGGAGCCTGTGGCAATTCAAAATAATAATGATAATGGCATTAGAGATGCTTTTAACGTTTTTCAGTACCATACCCAGTCAAGAGTGGAAGCACAGTAAACTTGGGGTGTCATGAATGGACATCTCAGGAGGAAAGAACATTATATAAAAGGCCTAGAGGCAGAAAAGCCCAAAGCCAGCCTGGGAAATGGCCTGGGACCAGGGTAGTGGGGATCCTGTCTGAAGAGGAAATGGGAAGTGAGGCTCTGCCCTCTGTCTACGCGTGGCTTTCAGAGCTGGCTGGACGTTTCCTGAGCCAGAGTCACTAATTAACATCTGAAGAGTAAGAAGTCTTCTACCCCTGCAGGGTGCCCTGGAATCCGAGTCCCGGCTCTAGCGCTTGGGAATTACGGGCTTTGGATAATTCATTTCCAGTCCCAGGAAGGTGAACTTAAGAACAGCTGCTGGCATTGGCGAATATTCGCCACGTCCTTCTCTCTCATAGCCTGGGACCGGAGTGGGTGACAGCGGGGAAGGGGCCGGCCTGCCTATCTAGAAAGGGTGAGGAGAAGCTGCTGCAGTCTAGATCTTAACACTGACGAGGGTAAGCCACGGGGAACCAGCCCGGTTTGGTCGCCTGCTTAGCCCTGATAGATACCAGTTTTACACAGGCCCCGTTTTACAGATGCTTAAAATGAGGTCAGAGAGGTGAACAGTACGACTCAAGCCACAGGGGTGGTAAACGGTTGGAAAGGAGGATTGTAAGACCATTCGCAGCATCCCCTTAGCTTCTCCAGACTCTTACGGATTCTCCGTAGCACTGTTTACTTTTCTTGAGCCCAACCAGGCAGAAACCTGGGGTTCCCCAAAAGGGCAAGCTACCCCAGTAGTCTGAGCCGCTGAGGGCGTGATGGGGAGGGACTGCCAGGCGGGGTCTCGACAGACAGGTGTTCCTCAGGGCCGGGACCCGCCCCGGCAGCACCTCGACACCCCTCTCCTGGCCCCCAGCTCCATGTATGCAAATCGCTGTTTTGCATGGGCTCAAGGCCAAGCGCGGGGGCCCTGCCAGGGGGCGTGGCCGAGGCCCCCGCCCCGTGCCGCGTGCTCACCTGGGGAGTGTGCTAAACCTGGTCGCGGAGTGCTGCCCCAGCCGGAGCAGCTGAGCGCGCGACTGAGGTGGCAGCGGCTACCGCAGTGGCGGCAGCTGCGGCGGCAGAGGGCGGGAGGAAGGAGACCCTGGCTTCTCCGGGGGCCAGGCTGGGGCAGCCGCGAGGGACCTGGGGGGGCGCTGGTTTTGGCCCCGCCTGGGGCAGGATGGTGAATCTGGAGCCCATGCACACAGGTGAGGGGCGGAGGGAGTGAGCTCCGACAGGTGTCACCGCGAGTGGGAAGGGACCAAGGACAAGGACACCATTGCACCGCTCGAGGCACTGTGAGGGGCTAACTCCCCGGTGGCCAGGAGAGGGCGATGTGGATAGCGGGCCCTTTTGGGCGGGTGAGGATAGGTAGATGTTGGGGGCAGGGAGGGGGTAAAAGAGGCAAGTTTGGAATATGAAGCCTTGGAGAACAATAACGAGGTGCATGAAGTTCCAGAAACCTTAGATCTGGGAAGTTAGACAGTGCGTGGGACTTGGGTGTGCTGAAGTGCTGGAGTCCCAGGAGCTTGCAGATGGGTGGTTCACTCACTCAGTTAGGGTGTGGACCTGGGAGTGCGTACGTGTATCCACATGCTGCGTGTTTGGTGTCCGGGCACCTGTGTGAAATGCAGGCAAAGTGGGCATGGGGGGTGCCTAGGGGAAATGCTAGTAGGGCGGAGCAAAACCAAAGTCGCACCTGGGGCAGATGCCACGCCACAGGATCGTCCATTGATTAGGACTTGTGCAAGCATGTGTTTGTGTGTGTCGGGAGTATCTGACTGTCCCCAGCATGTGTTGGGAGAATTGGTGGAGCAAACCCCAAGGAACCTAATGAGTCTTGGACCACACGTGTTCCAGATGTGTCTGGATGTGTTGCAGGTGTGTCCACTCACGTTATCCATCTGCGCTATGGGTTCAGTGTATAGTAAGCCTGTATCCCAGAGGGGATGGTGACAGACACCTCTGAGCACGATATCTCACAACCTCCTTTCCGGAGGAATAAGAGCCCTGGAAACGAAAAGGCCAGGAATGGACAAATGAGAGCTGGGTGTGGAGAGACCAGGACCCATCATCATTCTCTGGGCCTTCCATTCACAGCTGGGCTAAGGATGCTACTAAGCTAAAGGGTTGGACTTGGTGATGTGGGTTGAGGTGGGAAGGACTGATGTTCTGATTAGCTGCCTGAGGTGTTGAGCAAGAAGCAGAATTAAAGTGGAAAAAAAAAAAAAGCTGGACCTAAGTTAGCCACTCAAAGCCTAGCCCCTTACCTCTGTCATACACAGTGCAGGAACCAAGTAATTTTTCTTTAGGACTTCAGGTTGCTGCAGAGATTATGTTAATTGCTCTAGAGAGCAGGGAGGTGGGGGGGGGGAGAGAAAGCAGATCTTCTGACCCACTGCGCAAAGCAAAACAAGCTAGATCTTCCTGTCTCCCACCGTTCCCGGAAACAGGTATCAGTGGGGGCCCAAAGGGGCCATGATTCCTAGTTCACTTCCCAGCAGGGCTAAGTGCAAGGGTAGCTGGCAGAGAGATGCTGGCACCCAGTGCCTGGTGCCCCAGGATTTGCCAGGAAGGACTAGGTGAGGCTGAAGGAGCCATCCAACTGGGTGTCGTCCAGTGTCTGAAAAAGTTCTCAGATCCAAAGTGCTACAGCGGAACTGAAAGTAGCTGGGGACAGGGCCTCTGGGGGAGGCATTTCATCCCTCATTTCCTATCAGGAAGGCCAGTGTTCAAATGGGAATTAGTCTTAGCCAAAGGTAGCTCAGTAGAAAGTGGGGAGTTCTTTAGAACCAAGATCAGGGACTTCCTGGGGGGTTTCCACCTCCCTCTCCTACCGGAGGTTCTGCCTGGGGAAGTGGGAGGAGGTGGAACAGCTGGATCCTGGTAGGGGAGCAGCCTGGGAGCTGGGAGGACCTGGTGGAGAGCAGGAAGGGAGAGGTTGGGAAGAGAAGGCCAAGACCCTCCACCCATGCTAGCCCCTCGTTGATGCTTCTCAGAGACCCATACACCCCGCTGCTTGGCATTGCTGTGAGCAGAGTGTGCTGAACCCCCCCCAAAGTGGGGTGCTTCCTCCAGATGGGGGTTCACCAACCTTTGTGCTCATTGCCTGATTTATCTCTCCAATTGTCTTGAAGGTCTGCTTGCCATATTCTTTTGCCAGTTCCCCCAGGTTGTTGGTCTTCCTCCACATCACTCATGATGTCTTGGCCCCTCTGTGGTGTGTGCTCACCTCTCAGTGACATAGCCAAAAGTTCTCTGGGTTTGGAGTTTTCTGTGCTGTGCTTACTTTCTCAGCTTCATTATTGTTTGTTTAGTTTTGTTTTGTTTGTTTGTTTTTGGTTTGAGACAGGATTCCTCTGTAGCTTTGGAGCCTGTCCTGGAACTAGCTCTTGTAGACCAGGCTGGCCTCAAACTCACAGAGATCCGCCTGCTTCTGCCTCCCAAGTGCTGGGATTAAAGGTGTGTGCCACCACTGCCCGGTGACGTCATTATTTTTTGGGACAAGGTCTTGCCACATAGCTCAGGTTTATCTCAAGCTCAAATTAATTCTCCTGCCTCGGCTTCCCCAGTTCTTGGAGTACAGGCATAAGCCACTATGCCAAGCTGTTGAGGTCTTTGTAGGTCTTTTTCGTGTGGTCCCTGCTGTGTGTGTGGAGGGAGGGATCCCCTTCTTTCTTTGGATTGTCTCATAGTCTCCTCCCCTGGGTAGGTCTCTGAAGCCTAGCTCCTCTTTCCTTTAGTCCCTCCATAGTAATCCTATATTCTGCTGTCCCTTAAATGTCCCCTGGAATTCCCAACTCCAGGCCCTTAAGGAAGCCTCCTGGTTGGTTTCCTGGAGTAGTATCAGTGTGGAAGGAGGCTGATAGCCGTCCCCTAGCATGGACATAGACTTGCTCCTGGGTCCCCTTTCAGAGGGCTTCATAATTGTGAGAGCCTGGGGACAATCTCTGATTCCGGTGTGCCACAGCCTCCACGCTGTGTTCTTATAGAACCTTTCATTGAGGAGCCTGGAGATCTGAGCAAGTAGGGCGGGAGTTCTCAGATAGAGAGGGGCTTCCTGCGCTCAAGCCTCAAGGGATGGACCAGAGCCGATCAGCTAGGAAGGAAGAGAGGTGGTGTAGTCAGCCAGAGGGTCCCCGTGTCTGGCCTTGTGGGTCTTTCTGTTTCTCACTGTCAAATGGGGGAGGGAGACGGAGTGTCTGAGACCTGTGCTAGCCGGAGCTCAGGAATGCTATTCCCATCAAAAGGCCTGTCAGAGGGAGGGAGAAGAAAAAAAGTCTACAGCAGAATAGTTGGAGCCTTGGCTGGCTCAGTAGTGGCACTGGAGGGTCCTAGGAAGGCCCCCTTGTGGAGGGACCCACAAAAGCAAGTGTTTGAGAAAAGAACCAAGGACAGGAATAGGGAGAACAGTAGAGAGGGGTGGGGCTCCCATTTGCTCAGAATAACCTGGACTCAGGAGGACACTGCCCGTGCCCACCTCAAGAGAGCACTGCCTTTGGGTGCTCGTGTTTCTAGATACCGACAAGGGGAACTACTTCTGACCAGACCTCAGGAAAGCCAGGCCATCTTCACTCTCTGACAGTGCTAGATGAGGCAGATTGGGGTCTACTTGAGGTATCTGGGCGCTTACACTCAGCAGCTGAGCCTCCTCAGGGAAGGGAGGGTGGCAGAGAGCCGACTCAGACAGACTAAGATAAGAACGTAGCCGAGCTGGCCCCACCCCACATCTCTCTCACTCACCCCCGGCGGTGCTGTCGGACAGGTGAAGGGTTACTGCCAACGTCTCAGGGAGTTTCGGTGTTGGCCCATTTTTAGGCTGAGACCCAAGGATCCGTCCCACCCATCAGCATCAGCCTCCTACCCAACAAGAACAGGTTCTTAGCATCTGAGCTTGCTGGGGACTGACGGAGGGAGAAGGTTTCCAGGTTAGCTCTCCCTGCCCCTCACGAAGCCCCTCCCCCCTCCCCCACCTGGAGAGTCAGGCTGTCACCTGGTCAAGGCAGAATGAGCGGACTTGGATGTCTTTAGAAATAACTTTTGGACACGATTAAGACTAAGTTCCAAGTTTATTTAAAGGACAAGGGAGAGACTTCCTGGTGGTTGGAGGAAATGGGTGTTGGAGGAAAGTTGGGGTGACGGGCAACAGAATAAGGCTCAGCTCAAAAAGCTACCTGTTTCAGCCAATCCTCATGGTGCAGGCATGTATTCCCAGCTAGTCCTGGAAGGCTGAAACAGGAAGAGCATAAGTTCAAGTCCTGCGTGACCTAGAGTGAGTTCAAGGCTAGCCTGGGCAACATTGAGACCCTGCCTGAAAATAAGGAGAGCTCTGGGGATATCTCAATGGTAGCAGAAGTAGGACCCTGGTTCTATTCTCAGTAGCGCACACACCATGTTGTCTGTTTAAATGTCCGGAGTTTGGAATAAGTTGATTTAGTAACTCTGATTGTCTTCATGTTTTCGCTGTCCCTCAAGCTTTTCCTGTCCCCATGAGCAGTTTTCCTCTGATGTGGAATCTAGAGAATTCTAGTGGCTTCCTTGGTGAAGGACAGTTACAGAGACGCAAGACTGAAAGCCATCGACTTCCCAGGGAATCGGGAAGGGATAAGGAAGGGGGATGGCCAGGATGCAAGAGGGGACTGGAACTAGTGTCTACGGCAATGCGATTTAGTAGGCACCCTTCACTCCCTTTCATCATCTCATTTAATCTTGTCCACGCCCCCTGGGAGGTGTGTTCAGCATCCCTGGTTCTGGGGGAGAAACTTCACACTCCCATTTGTAGCTAAGGTCCCCTGGCTAATGATGGTATTGGCATACACTCTGGTTTGTCTGCTGCCAAAACCTGCGCTCTGAAGTCCTTACTTGTGGCTCTGCTAAAGCAGGTTCAAAACCAGCAGAGGGAGAGACTTTCCCTCCTGTGACTTCTCAGCAGGCTCCGGTTTGGGGCTTTTTCTCTGCACTTCAGAGGAATCCCAGCGGTGATGGATGTTAGGCTTTACCCAGCTCCAAGCTGGGACAAAGGGAAGCCCATTTTCCCAGGAGTCGCAAATGAACAGAGGCCCCTGCCAGTTCTGTATATGCTTGCATATACTACTGTCTGGAAAATGAACATCTGCAGCAAGAAAAGCTAAGGTTCAAGGGAAGCCGCCCAAATGCAGAGCAGAGGGGGCGTTCCTGAGACTTCATGACCCCCTCCCCAGTGCAGCAAGGCTGCCTAGGAAGACCCTACCGAGCTCTTACTATATACCTGGGTGTCTTCCTTCTTTTAAGTGTCCTCAAAACCATAGGGACTCCTAGGGTGGCCTTATTTCTTCCCCTACTTCTGGTGCATTTGCTGGTGTCTGCATCGCTGCTTTGCCTG